CGACATCCACTCGCACACACAGGCGTGCAAATAGTCGCGGTTTCCCAAGGGCCGCTTGGACAGGACTATAAACCCCTGAACACAACCACTACTTACACCCTGCAACATCTTGAGTTGATCTCCCGTGGTCTGCATTATCCCTTGGGCATTATCCCTTCGCCCATGCATTGCCCCCCGGTGCCTTTCGGTGTACTGGCAGTGAAACTGGTTTCTAAAAACCGCTAAGTGTGCACGTTCACAAGCCATGTGGTTTATGGGAGGGAGCCTTTTATCAGCTGACCCAAAGTGAACAAAAACGACTAGCATGCACGCACATACCCGGGCTAAACAATGCGATCTTTGCGTTTGCTGTTCAGACGCAGATCTCTCGGTAGCAGTCTATTATAGGTGCCACCATGGAAACCATAACCCCAGAATTATGTAATAGGGGACCGATGGTACCGGGTGTTATAGGGGTGTCGCATTACTGGGGATGCCAGAGAGGTGGGGTGGTACCTAAAGTAGACTGTTACCGATTTATCATCTTTTCTCCTCTCGGCTGATCTGCGGCATCGTATCCCATGCCCAAGAGAGAGGGAGTTGAATTGGCTATGTCTCAGTTGTTGATCGCAGCAGCAGGAGCGTGGAACCACTCACCGTACTGACACTTTCTCTTTTTCTTCCTTCCGTCTTTAGAACATCCCCAGAAAAATGACCTCGCAGGAGTTCGTGACCAATCTCATGGAGCTTAATCACGGTGCTAACGGGTACTGTCGTGAGGAACTCCGACGTCTCTACACCGCCATTAAGCAGGATCCACTCAGGTGGCCGCAGTAAGTGACACCTCGAGGACAGCACCCTCTCCTATTTCCACATCACATCACATTACTGCTTATTGCTCTCTTTTTTTCCTGGTTTTCAACACCCGCAGCAACTATCTGTCAGCCAGGGTCCTTTAGACAGCTGCAGCGATTGCTGCGCTGTTAGACTGAGCAGTACTCCGGCGCTCCGCGCGTATCTTCCCCACTGTCCGCGTTTATTTTATTCACGAGGACCCGCGCTGCTTGCGGGAACCTCCAGTCTGATCGGGCCTTTTGAATTTCTTATCAAATTACCAAATTTACTGGCTTTAAGTCGCACAACCTGTCGTCCCCCTCTACCTCAGCGTATCGTGTGACGTTGTGCAGCATGAAAGTGTCAGGCGTTCGAATCAGTTTTTTTCGTCTGCACTTCAGCCGCATCGATCACCATGTTGCAATTGCTCTGACTTATCAGACAATGTCCGTGCATTGGGGAAAATGACGACTTAATGGAGGAGGAGGAATACCTCGGTTTCGAGACATAACCACTTTTAGGCGTTCCAATGAGTATTCGTTTATTCGAACTGCATCAATGAGTTCATTAGCGCACACAATAAGTCCAATATGGCCCAAATTCGGCAACTCCTCCACGGACGTCATACGTCATGTTGTTGACGACTGCAGAGCTCGGCCATTACGCATGGTTTGTGATATCCCGGTGTTATTTGGCTTGTGTGCCTAATTTCCTTCACGCCAAAATGGAGACGTTTTTGCAGAACTACTTTGGAATGACATTTTCAAAGTAAAGTGTACCTCTCATAGCAACTTTAGGAGGGCGTCTGAAAGATAATTTACTCCAAGGGAGTTACTGTAAATGTAAACATTAATTACCTTGACAACTAAACAAGGCAGTAATTGAAACATTGTTTTCCCGGAATAAATTTGTACAAGGCAAAGATCAGAAGACTAGCAGAATTTATTGACCCCATACAATTTCGAGGCCTCTCATTTAACTGCATACGGCCCTTGCCTATTAATGAGATAAACTAACTGTCCAGTTATGTATGGACCTAGAGGGGTGAAAGTTGATAGGTAAATAGAGAAGAGCTATTAGTCTTAGATGTGGGTGCTCTTTGATATAACGGTGACATCTGACATGTGTCACCGTCGAATTACGCCCGTTGGAATCCCCAAGGAAGAACACAATAA